CCCCAGGCTGTCCTGCGGGCAGGGGTGGAGAAACACAGCACAACCCGCATGAAGCTGAAACCCATAAAGACTGGACTGAAAAAGGTCTGCTTTTTGTTTTGTTTTGTTTATTTGTTTATCTATTTATTTATTTATCTATTTATTTATTTATTTATTTGAGAGCTAAAGGATATGACATTTGGATAAGACAGCCCCTGCACTAGGTTTGTCACCAGCAAGGTATTTGTGAATACACCTGGAAGCTACTGGATCCCAGGCAGGTGTCAGAGTAGGATTCCTATTTGCACTTGCTCTTGATAGCAGCAAGAGCATGGAAGCATGCCTGGCAGAAGACAGCAATACATTGTCAGGTTCTCAACAAGGTTCCCGAGTGCAAAAGCCCTTGCCGACCTGTGTCTGAGGCAGCCCAGCCCCTGGCCCGTCCCTGCCCCAGAGGGGAGATAGTCACTTGCCTGTCTGTGCTCCCAGACAGCGCTCACTCGGTTGAGGCTCAGCACATAGCCATCCTTTTGGTCTCTGTTGATGTCTTGCAGAGCTAAGTCTGCAGCTGCTAACACTTCCAAGTCGTTGCAGGCACGGGGGAGGATCGGGTTGAGTGCAGCCACAGCCCCACAGCACGTGGCCAGGGTACCGAGCACCAGGATTTGGAGTGGACCCATTCTGTCAGGGAGCAAGGACGTGGAGCTGGAGGGATGGGCTGGCTTGTGGGACTTCCTGAAGAGCACACTTGAGTGGTCCTGTAATCCTAATTAGAATGGCTGCTAGGATTAGAAAGACTGTCCCATTTTATCACCCTGAATTCTAAACATGGATTTCCCTGAGTCAGTACTTCAGATAGGATCTGCTGATGTTTGTAACCTTAAACCCCTAAGTAATCTCACATTCGGGTGAATATGTAAACAGGATCAAGTTTCCCAACGTTTTTTCCGGGCAATCCTAACAAATATTTAGCCAAGGGCCTTAGGAGGTCATGAATGGAGTCTGGCCCGTGTCTACACCTCGGACCAAACGTTGGAAGCCATTGTCTTCTTCCCAAGCCTGGAACCCCCTTCCTGCAGCCAGCCTCCTCAGGCACATGGGTGAGCTCAGGCAGGAACCCAGGGCGGGCTTCTGGGCTGCTCCGTGAGTTCACATCTCACCACTCACCTTAGACCTCAAAGCAGACCCAGCCCTCCTCAAGCACATCCCATGAGCACTGGTGAGCTTTAATGCAATTTGAGCATGTGGCCGAGAATCATATTCTCTCTGGTCTCATTTAATGCTTCTAAAACAGGTGTTTTACTTAATAGAAAGAGTTCCTGGGACATCTTTCCATCATACTCCAAGATTATTTCCCCTGCTATGGAGCTGTATGAAAGCTAATTCATCATAAGCAGCGGATCTATCTGCTACAGCACAGTGCTGGCCCTTGCATTTACAATTACGTACAGGATATCCAGTTCTCAGAATGCCTTGAAAAACGGTCATGTCTCTGCTGCTTCATTTCTCTTCCAGCTCCCTGCTTGTGGCCTTCAGGTCAGCTCAGCTCTGGTCATCGCGGTCACTTGGGGAGTGAACCAGCAGATGGGGGATCCTTCTCCTGTAAATCTGCCTTTCCAATTTTAAAATAAATAAATCGTTAAAAAAGAAGCTTATGAAGGGATACAATCTCAGCACAATATTTGTGGAAAATGAAAATCATCCAAATATATAACGCACAAATGATACTGAATACACCATGGAATATTGATGTGATGACTAATAAACAAATGGATAAAACTTTGTATCTATTTGTATAAAATAAAAACCTTTATTGTCATTTCACAAGAATAGATCATTAAGATAAAAGCATGAGTATAATAATTTTATATAAAAGAAATAGAAATAAGAAATACTTAACACATAAATACATGCACATGTTTCAGAAGGAATTAATGTAATCCAAAAGTCCTAAAAAAACTGGTTACCTGGCCACCAGTGGAGCTCTGACTGTACTGGGGTTCTGTTCACTGCAGCACCACTTCGCTGTCTGCCACTCCCCCTGTCCATGGGTCTCTGTCCTCTGCCATCCGCTAACCAAACAAGGAAGCAGGAAAACCTTTTGCTTACAGTAAAATAACTACTAAATGTAGAAGAATAGAGCTGCAAAAATCACCATTTTCCAATCATCACTGTAAAAACTAATTCAGGCAGGAATCATCCTTCATCGCCCCGAGTTCTCTTCTCTATCTTCTATCTAGCCACAGCCTAAGTTCCTCACTGTTTCCTGGCGCAGGCCCTTGGTGCCTGCTGTCCCCCTGGATGGCTCCTCCCTTGGTGCTGCTTAGCTGGTCCTTCCCTCTTCCTTAGCTTGTGCCCTAAGGTTGATTGGTGTAGGTGTGAGGCTGCCAGTAGCCAATCTTGGAAGGAAAGACACTGGCAGGCAGGCGCTGCTGAGAGGTGGGGAGTGAGCGGAAGCAGGGAGATCTGGGGACGTCTTCTGACCCTTTGGATGCAGCTGTGCCCTACAGTCACAAGGCAGTCACAGTCATCACTTCTGCTCACTTGGAGGCGGGCTGGCCACCTGCTGGCTCCTATTCCACCAGTTTCCTGGCAGATGCACCTGTGGGCAGCAGGTGTAAAAAGTGGATCAGTGTCTGTCAGTCTTGGGTGACAGGCCTTTCAGGATTTTCTTCATTTTTCTCATTATCAAGGACCAGAATCCCCTTCCCAGCTTTCCACCTGAAGCTCCTCAGGGTTCTGTCCCTCTCTCCCTTTCCTCTGCCTGTTGTTCACCCCAAGTATGTTCAAAATCCTCCTTTTGCTCCTGAAAAAAGAAAACATTTCCTCCTCCTCATGATCCTATAAAGACCATCCTATCTCTTCTACCCTTTGTCATCAAACTGCTTGAAAGAGAATGCATGCATGTCCCACCAGTCAGCCCTTGGCAGCCTTGTCATCCCCTCCAGGGCAGCTGGACTGGCCAGCTGACCCCTGCCAACCCCGACTCCTCAAGCCTGCGTCCTAGTCCTCAGCCTCATTTCTCTTGGTGTAGCCCTTAGTCCCCCTGCCCCTACCTTCCTTTCCCTCTCAGCTCCTGGAAGGCCTAGTGGTTTTCCTACCTCTCCAGCCATTTCTTCTGGGCACTGGGATGTTGGTAAACCTTCCGGGCTAACACAATGTGGTGAGGATAGGGATCAGGGCTCAGTTGCCCTGATTTAAGTGAAGTCACTCAACAGGCTAGTAGTCCCACCTCTTTAAGACTCTACCTGGAAGGACTCATCCCTGAGGCTGATCAGGAAAACGTAACCCTGAAAGGTGAGAATTGAAGTGACCACGGCACCATTTGATAATGGGGACTGCTTACTCCCATATACTCTCTGGGGACCTGGAGAATGCTTGTAAATATCTACTGGATTCACCTGTCTGGGTCAAGTTCACCTGATTAGATCACAAGCCAAAGCTTTAATTTGGGCTCTTGAAGTATATCAACTAGAGAGATCAATTCTATATGATGTAAAATGATGTGTATATAGGGCACTCCGTGGGTATTTTGGAGGCCACAGCAGGGGCATGGATGGAAAGTGGAATAGCCAGGATTAGAACAGACACCCATATGGGATCCTGGTGCATGCGAGAGGAGGATTTGGGGCCCGGCGCGGTAGCCTAGCAGCTGAAGTCCTCGCCTTGCATGTGCTGAGATTCCAAATGGACACCAGTTCTAATCCCAGTGGCCCTGCTTCCCATCCAGCTCCCTACTTGTGGCCTGGGAAAGCAGTCGAGGGTGGCCCAAAGCCTTGGGACCCTGCACCCACATGGAAGACCCAAAGGAGGCTCCTGGCTCCTGGCTTCAGATCAGCGCAGCATCAGCCATTGTGGCTGTTTGGGGAGTGAATCATCGGACCAAAGATCTTCCTCTCTGTCTCTCCTCCTCTCTGTATATCTGATTTAGCAACAAGAAGAAATAAATCTTTAAAAAAGAAAAAAGAAGAAAAAGATGAGGATTTTGCCACTAAGCCATTACTGGGCCCATTCTTTGAGTATTTTAAACATAAACAGCAAATAAACAGTATATGAGGTCACTGTGTATGTCTTTAAAGATCTTATTTATTCAAAAGTCAGACTTACACAGATCTTCAGTGTGCTGATTCACTTGCCAGGTAGCCACGACCACCAGGGCTGGCTGGGCTAGAGCAAACCCAGGAGCATCTTCCACATCTCTCAGGGGCCCAAACACCTGGGCCATCTTCCAGTGCTTTTCCCAGGACGTGACCCAGCACACTGACCCAGCGCCCATATGGGACGCTGGCATCCCAGGTGGTGGCTTCACCTGTTGCTGTGTTCATTACCAATCCTTTTAGCTGGGTATTGGGGGGGGAATCAGTGGCTTTTACATTCCAATCTCAAGAAATGAATAAAATAAAATAAAAACCATTCTAATCTCAGGTAAATGATCCTGTTATAGTCATATTTTCTGTCACTTATGAAGTGAAAGAATTATTTTTCCTTAAAGGAAGGTCATTTTCTACGAGTTGTGAACAGATTTGTGCCTCTCTCCTGTATTTGGCAACACTGGCTTTTGTTTTCTTTCAGTTCTCTTTTCACATGAATTTAAAAAAAAAGGATTTATTTTTATTGGAAAAGCAGATATACAAAGAGGAGGTGAGGCAGAGAGGAAGATCTTCCGTCCATTGATTCACTCCCCAAGCAGCTGCAGTGGCTGGAGCTGAGCCAATCCAAAGCCATGAACCTGGAGCTTCTTCTGGGTCTCCCACACCGGTGCAGGGTCCCAAGGCTTTGGGCCATCCTCAACCGCTTTCCCAAGCCACAAGCAGGGAGCTGGATGGGAAGTGGGGCTGCTGGGATTAGAACTGGTGACTATATGGGATCCTGGTGCCTGCAATGTGAAGACTTTAGCAGCTATGCCACTGCGCTGGGCCCTCACATAAATTTTAATTAGGGACACTGTGTGATTGTTGCGATGACAGACTCCATACATGTAGGCAACATTTGAATGAACCAGGCAATGAGCAGGGCCACACTTGAGCTTAGAATCTTCTTTATTAAGGAAAAAGTTGGCTAGGCAATTTTATGAACAGGCAGATACAGGACTGGCTAGAGCACCTTTTAAAGTCCCCGTTCCAGTTGCTGTGTGAAAGCAACCAGAAGACAGAGACGGCAATCGAGATGCCAGCCTTACACCTGTCCTCAGGCCTCACCCCGCCCCCTCTGCTTCAGTCCGCGAGGAAAGAAAAGAGGTGAGAGGCAAGACTTGATGCTAACCTAGACCTCATGTGGCACTGACTTTGACAGCACACAAGACATCTACTCATATTCAGGCTTGGACAAAATGGTGCCTGCATTCTTTGTGCCAAACCTTCTATCTGTGTCTAGTTTAGATCTTGAAGTGTCTGATCTTCCCTGGGCATGGCGGGACCTGGGGGGCGGCGCCAGCAGGGGACACAGCGACGGCTGGCCCAATCGGTTTTGAAGGGCGGAAGGCTTCCGCGGAACCTGACTCCATGGAGTGCGCCCCGGAGAAGGAATGGCGCAAGTCGTGGTGCGTCTTGTGCACTTTGGGTACTATGGGATGTTTGACGAAGATGGGCCCCAGCACCTGGGGATGGGAGGGCTGACCAGCTGGAGGGGCCGCGAGTGCAGCTGCATCTGCTGCTGGGGCGGCTGGCTCCGCTGCTGGGGGGGCGGCTGAAGCATCCGCTGGTGCACCGACACCATCTGGCTGTGGCTGTGGGGCGGCAGGCTGGAGAGTAGACCATTTCCTTTGATTAGCTGGCTTGCTCCTCCCAGAAGTCCCACCCCCCTGAGTCCAGACACCATTCCTTCACAACTGTCTTTTTATTTGCTGGGTATAGGGGAACAGAAGAACCACCTGCAACCCTGACAACATTCTTTGGTGCCCGACTAGTTCTTTTACTGTCTCATTGTCACCAGAATTATCTTGGTGACCACGGATTTACATACCCATGTCTCACCTGTGTCCCAGCTTCAGCCTTTGCCATCTATACCTACAGCCACTGGCAGGTGTCCCCTTCTCCGAAAATAAACCATTCCCACCTCCCGCAGATGGACAGGTTGCCTTATCGGCTGCACATTAGAATGGTTCTGTCCTGTTGTGATGCATTACGGAGAAGGGGGCAGCTCAAGCATCCTTGCATTTGGAAATGACTCCATACCCCTCTAAGGTTACCTTACATTGTGAAGTTTGGGTCAAGGCAACACACTACCATCTCCAGGATGAGGCATTGCGTGAGTGCAGGCAAGAATAGCCACTTAGGTGTTTACCTGGGTTGGGAATATGGTGCAGGTTACCGACACGTCTTCCCCAGCAAGCTTCTCAGCGACCGTTGCCTTGCACAAGCCATATTGCTGCCCACACAAAGTAGCGATTTTAGTGCATTTATAGAACAGTGTAACCCTGTTTCACTGAAACTCCGATACAATGAGGGGAAAAACACTTCACTTTTTCTAAAAGTCTATGGCTTTTTTTTTTTTTTTTTGGAGACCTATAACATGCCATCCTGCATACAGAAATGCTAAAGTGAGATAAATATCACCAATCATACCAGATGTGATGATGACATGGGGAAAAACCACTGTTAATACCCTTCTGCTGCTTTCTTGTTTATAAAAAATCTTGATTAAATAAGATGGTGCTTCAAAAAGTTCATGGAAAACGGTAGTAAGACATCAGTTTGTTTTATAGCAACATTATTTGAAAAACTATTTGTAAATATAAAACAATTTTGCACCAAAGTAAAGTTATGTTTTAACTCTATTTCTCATGAACATTTTTAAGAATTCTTGTATCATTTAAAGATGGAGATTGGCTAACCAAACATTTTTGCTATCCTTTCTCTTTCCACTTACTATAAGATTATAGCATTTTCTCATATCATTTACCAATCTTTGCAAACATAATTTCTAGTGTCTGCATACTCTTCTATTTACTGATATGTTACATATCGTTCAATGATATGCTTGTTGGACACAAAGATTTTTTTAGTCATTTGTATCTATGATAAATCACCTATCTAGATATATTTTTGTCAAATGTCTCTGATGGTTTCTTTAGTGTAGATGGGGACATCATTGGCTTAAGTACTTGGCAGGTTCTAAATACTAAGATACAAGTATGCCTAGAAAATCTGCCCTTCCCCCTTCCCGCAGCTGGGCATGAATGCATTTCATTAAGAAGCGGTCTCTGTCTTTCTCCTGATTCCCTGAGCTTCCAGTGTGTGAGTGCAAGGGGTGACAACTCTTGGGGGTGGGGTGACATCCCAGAGGAAAGCCTGGTGTGACCTGCCCCTCCCCCCCGCCCCCCACCGCAGGGAGTGTGCCCTGCTGTTCTCTTCCCATCACCCAAAGCTGCAGACCATGAACAGCTGCTCTGTTCTGCAGCAGGCTTGCCTGTGTGACAGTAGCCCCAGCTCCTTGCACTGACTCCGGGGATAGCTCCAACAGCAAAACGGAACTGCTGTCACTCACCTTTTCTGCCAGCAGGTTGCATTTGGCTGGATCGGTGACCTCTTTAGCAACACAGTCAGTGGCACCCACTGCAAACTCCACGTAGGTAGAAGCTGGGAGAGGCTAGTGAAGATAAAGGAAAATGCACTTGAGGCAACGTGGCTTTGAATGAAAGGGGCGGGGCAGGAAGGGCTGGAGGGAAGCAGCCAGGGCCATGGCTGGGCACAACTTCCTGGAGCATCATTGGTGTGGAATACATTGTGTGGCCCAGGAAATGTACCTCTGCATGGTTTACAAAGGGCAGGTGTCAGGACTTGCACACCAATTGGGGCTAGTACTACAGAAGTAGGGGCCATTTGCCCACCAGGTGAGTTTTCAGGCAGGAAACAGAAAATCAGGATTTCAGTTTTAGCCTGCCTTGAATAGGGGCCTTGCCTGTCCTCCTGGCTTTCATTCTTGGGACTGCATTTTGAAATCTAAGGTTGAGGTTACTCCTGTTGGTGCGGGAAAGTGAATTTAACATCCCTTCCACTTACACCAGAGAGAAGGATCCCATGAGACAGACAAAAGAATGTACACAGACACTTGTGTACTTCTCTTAAAATATTTGGAGCTTGTGGACACTTGTCAAGTGTTGAGTGTGGTCTGGGATGGGGACTTTTCTGGTTAACAGACCGCCATGGCTGCATCATGGCTGGTGTGTCCAGAACACCAGTTTTCTTTAGTATTATAGCACTATTGCCTTTAAGTATGCAAGTAGCTCGTTTCCCCCAGGGATTCAAGAGGCATTCTAGGATCCTACTGCTGGAAGTCTATCAGGACAAGGAGGTCAATGCCTTTATAAGCATTCATTGTCACAGATGCTCAGCAGTGATGTATGGTAAATGTGTGGAAACCAGAGAGTGGACAATGGGCAGTTTGGGATAAAGTGGGCATCTCCCCCTGCTTCATGTGGTGGAGCCAGGGGACTGGGGTGCACCTCCCTGCAGAGTCTGGGGATCTTGGTGACATGCAGGGACCCTTTTCTCCCCCTTCCAACCAGGACCACCCCTGCTTTCTCCCTTGTTGTCCCGATATCTGTTCACCCCTCACTCCTTTGCCACAGGCATTTCCCAAATGCTACTAAACTGCCCAAATCTGTCCAAAGGGTCTCTGTCTTTACCACAAACTGGGCCCGGGCAACTTCCATCAGCTGATAATAGGCGCCGTTATTCTGAGCGTTGAAGGCAGCCAGGGCAGCATCCACAGCGTGCGTCACTCTGGAGTCATTCAGCGGGATCAGCAGGGGGCAGTCTGGGCATACCCTGTGCACGTCCTCGGCAGAGTCTGCAGAGGAGAAATGAGGGCTGATGCTCCCCGCTGTGCACCCTAGCGCTTATGGAACCCAGGCTGAGACATGGACCATGTTGACTTCCAGCCTTTTCCCTGCATTGTCCTGACCCTGTCTGTAGCTCAGTCCATGATGTCACCAGGAGCTGGTCCTTGCCTCCAGGATCCAGCATATCTCGCTTCCCTTACTCTCTCTCTCTCTTAAAGGTTTATTTATTTTTACTGGGAAGGCAGATCAGATTTACAGAGATAAAGATCTTTTATCTGCTGGCTCACTTCCTACAGCTCAGGTGGAACTGAGCTGATCCAAAGTCAGGAGCCAGTAGAGGTTCTCCAGGTCTCCCACATGGGTAAAGGATCCCAAGGTTTTGGGTCATCCTCAGCTGCTTTTGGCCACAAGCAGGGAGCTGTGCGAAATGGAGCAGCCAAGACATGAATCAGCACCCAGATGGGATCCCAGCACTTGCAAGTGAGGATTTAGCCATTGAGCCATCACACTCACTGACCAAGTGGCTAGAACAATGTAGGTTAGAAACTACCCAGATAATCCCTGCCCCCAACCCCAATCCCAGCTCTAGAAAAATAAAGGGAAAAGCAAAGGGAAGAATAAACCATCTCTACCTGGAGTGGATTCACACTTCGCAGACAACACAGAAAACTGGCCATCCAGCTTCAACACATGGAAGTCACAGTCTCCTTCCACAGCCTGGAGAGGGAAGCTGACAGTGAGGGTCCCAGGAAGCCAGTCGGCCCACCTGCCCGCCTGCCCACCCCGCGGGAAGAGGGCCTGTGAGGCACAAAAGGACCTGTGCTGACACTCACTGCTCTCCGGGACCTCTACAACAAGAAGGTGAACTGTTGTAAAGCCCAATGCCAGAAAAGGCGGCATTCCACAGCATGTCAGAAACCACACTTGGGCTCACCAGGGAGGTCAGATAAGCAGGCCTGCTTGGGCTGGCACTGTGACAGCAGGTTGAACCAGCACCGGCAGTACAGGCATCCCATATGGACACAGAGTCCCGGCTGTTCCACTTTCAGTTCAACTCCCTGCTCACTCAACTGGGAATGCAATGGAAGATGGCCCAAGTCCATGGATACCTGCACGCACGTGGAAGACCCAGGTGGAATTCTAGGTTCCTGGCTTCAGCCTGGTCCAGCCCTGGCTGTTGTGGTCATTTGGTGAGTGAACCAGTGGGTGAAAAATTTCTCTTTCTTGCTTTATATGTATATTTATATATAATAATAATTTCATATAATTTACATGTGTGTATTATATTATTTATGTATTATGTTATATATTTTGTATTGTTATATATAAATTATTGTATAATATATTTTGTGGCATATTATATATAATTGTGTGTGTGTGTGTGTGTGTGTTTTAAAGTTCTGCTCCAGGAGTTAAAAATTTTGAAACTTAAAAATGATCCATATTAAGGAGTAGGAAATGTTAATTACTGTGACTTGGGCATTCCACACTGTTCACACATGTTATCACCCAACAATATTGTGCAGCTACTGAAATAGTCTATTACAATACTAAACCAAATGGAGTGAAGGGAAAAACACATCTGTTTAAGAACAGGAGCATGCGCTGTGCTGATGAACCGGGAAGCGTGGCTGGGTGCCCCCTGCAGGACACTCACGTGCGCTGTCTGCTGCCTCACGCTGCAGTTTGCCAGGGGCGTGGGGTCCAGTGCGTGGCAGGTGGTCTCCAGCGTGTCTATTTCAAGTTGGAACACTTCTCCCAAGGGCCGCTGTGGAGACACAGGAAGAAAGGGTGAGCTACTCGGGACACTGGTCCTGCTGTGCGGGCCAGGACGTGAGCCTTGGTAGGCTGGGGCCCTCCCAGGTTTCAGAGCAGGGCAAGGACAAGCCTGCACACGTGTCTGACTGGACCCGGCGCCTGTGAAAGGCTATGCCGGGACTACCCTGGTCTTCCGGAAGAAAGAGGAGTGTCCTCGGACCAGCGGATACAACCTATCCAAGCACTCCTGGGGCTTCACAGATGAGCTCTGTCTTTACGATGTTACCCTTCAAGCAATGCTTTTAAAAAGTCAGCTTAGGATTTGTCTTAGTCAAACTGCAAAGTAACATGGGACAATATCTTCCTGTCTCTCCTTCCAATTCTAGATTCTTCCCTCTAACTCTTCTTTTCTGCCCCTCTCATTCTCTACTCTCCCTTCTCCCGTTTTCCTGCTGGAAAGATTTTGCGGGGGAAGCTGCTCTCTGCTGCTCTCTGCTGGTGAGGAGAGGGGAGCGCCTAGTCTTCCCCGCTCCCCCCAATGCTGATGAAGCTATGGTTACCAGGGCTGTAAGGGACTTGGGGGAAATTTCTTTGGGTAGTTCTTGTCGGTTCGCCTGTTTAAGTAGCTTTTCTTCCAATGCTAGAACATCTAGAAGGGACAAGCACACTTTTCCCTCCCAGCCCAGCTCTGCTTGCTTCTCGGAATGGCTTTGGCCGACTCACTGGGACCTGCAGGGTCAGCCTGGACCCTTTTGCAGGAAGTTCTCATTTTCTTGGTATACAAACATAGCCAAAGCCGCTTCAAGGAGACACTGTGAGCTGCAGCGCACAGGGGCAAGAGACGCCTGGATTTCTCAAGGGATGGGCTCGGCCCTGCCTTTAGCAAAAAATTGAGGTGCCTTCTCTCATCCTTTCCCACAGTCATATGTTAGTGTCCTCTGAACCATTTATACTGGACCACGCTACAGCACTCTTAAAACCCATTCGCGGTTTTAAGACCTCAGCTGTCCCACAGATTGCTGGACTTTAAAACCCTCGAAGGCACTAAATGTGTTCTTTACGCCTTTGCATCAGGTTGAACCTCTGAATGTACCCAGAGTTGGCTGCTTTGATGTGCAAACATGAGTTTTATGTGCTGCAGCCCAGTACCCACTCCTAACACCTGCCATTGGCTCTTGCCTAAAGAAAGATTGCAATAACTGTACAATGACAAGAATTAGCCTACATCCGATATAAAATGTAAGTTTCAAACAAGCGGCAACAGGTGCCTTTCCCTGGCCCCTCCCTGCAGGCTTCGTCACCAGCTCGAGGCTGCATGGACCTTGTCCAGTGTGTGAAGAAGCAAATCCTCTTCCCAGCAAAGGCTGCGTGGGATGCGGGGCACCCTCCGTCTGGGAGGCAGCTAGCATGGAGGGGAGAACCCAGGTCTGGGGTGGAAGCCTATTTTGGATGCTTGCTAATGATGTGGCCTTAGATGACAAATGGCTACGTGCACCTGAGCTTTGCTTTCTGCCTCTGTGAGACAGGGCAGGTTAGCAGAGATGAACTATGTGGAAGGCACACAGGGGGCACCTGCCAAACGCTGGTTTCATTCACTCAAGTCTTCATCAGAGAGGAAAGGAAGATGATTCGAGTCAGTGATACTTCGGCAACCTTCACCCAGGCTCTCAGACCCTAGTTTTCCAGGAAGCCACACTGGCCGTGTGTAAGCTGCAAAATTGCATTGTCCTTCATCTAACCCTTTTTTCCAGCCTGGCACCTTCCTTGAGACCTGGATGCAGAAGTTCCTCTAGCCTTGCCCTCCGTCTGCCCCTACCTTCCCTCCCAGCAGGCAAGCAGAGAATTTACCTCTCTGTGTTGATTTGCACTGATCTTTGGGGACCCAGAGTTGAGCCAGAAGCACCTGCACAGCAGGTTCACTTACCCGGGGCCACACCTTCACCTTGTCGATCCGATTCAGTGTGTGCTTGTATCCCTGATGAAGGTGCTGATTGATGTAGTCCACAGCCGCCAGGGCTGCCTCCTCCACTTCGGGGTCATCGCATTTGGGTAGTCTCAGCACTGGGGCAATTGACTGCAGCGGGATCGAGTGACAGGCCCAGAGCTGAGCCAGGACCAGCAGAGGAATGAGGGACTTCATGGCTGTCCCCCCCTGCAGAGTTCCAAGCACGTGGGCGGTCAGCTGCAAGCTTCAAGAGCAAGCTAGGTGCTGTGCTGGGGCAAGGTGGGCTGGTGGAAGGGCGGAGGGCTTTATTTATCTGTTGGAGCTCGTCGGAGGAATTGCATAAAGACAGGGGATGGTTTCTGTTCTGGTTCCAACGCAAAACACACACACAAAGAAATTCTGCAAACATCAACCTCAGTAAAGCAAACAGGTTAGGACATCACCAAATCCCAAGACATCTGCCAAAGTCAATGCTGCTGCGTGGGAGATGCTCCAAAGTCTGCTTGGAAGTTGGGGACAGCAACACAGAGAAGAGGTGGCTGAGGGGACGAGGAGGAGGCAAACACGGCCAGCCTGGGGTGCAGTGGGTTGGGCGGTCATGGAAGTGACCTGCACAGGGATCTGGCATCAGGGAGGGACAGTGTTCAGCCAAGGGGGAACGTTCTCTAATGTCGGGGGGGGGGGGGTCTGTCCTCTGCAAGGGCTCATAGAGGGGGAGACACAGCCCACAGACAGAACCCAGGCACAGGTGCACAATGGAAAGATGAGAAGAAAGGGAGGGTGGGGTTTCCGCCTAAAGTGGGGAAGAAAAGAATTGAAGGAAGAGAGTCCCTGTGGCAAGGCCAGCAAGAGCTATGGAGAACAGGGCAGTGTGGGGCACCTTGCCCCCTCACTCTCCTTTCTCCAGACCTTCCTGCCAGGGCCCTGCAGAGCCAGCACATGCAGGCATTGGTCCTGGTGTTCTGAGTGATGCCCAAGCCGATACCCAAGTGTAGATCTTGCCTCCCAGCTGCTCACTCAACACAGTTGTGGGTGTGAGTCCCACCCTGTAGGCTGAGATCCTGCAGGGGCAGCTAAGGGCACAGGTGATCCCAGCACCCTCCTCACCCTTAGCAAAAAAACACCGTCTACAGGCATTCTTATTGGCTGGGCGCATTTCCATCTTGTCTTTCTTCCCATGCAAAATATTTACATTGTTTTACCATAATTTAGCACATACTGCATCTACAATTTTTTTTTAATTTAACCATGATCAGTTGGCTATTCATATGTCATGAAATAAACTTAAACGCATGCTTAGACTCAGCAGTTGAGATGCCCATGGCCCATGCTGAAGTACCTGGAGTTGCTATCTGACTGAGGTTCCTAATTCCACACCCTGGGAGGCAGTGGAGACGGCTCATGTCATTGGATCCTGTCACCCACAGAGGAGACTGGGATAGCGTTCCGGACTCCTGGTTTCTGGATTAGGCCCTTACCTTCCACTGTCCTGCCACTTAGAGAATGAACCAGAACCATGATTCCTATCTTTCTGCCTCTCAAAACAAAGCTTTTAATGGCTACCTGTTATTTTCATTGTTGGGCATTTAGTTTGTTCTCAATTGATCACTGTTGTGCACAAAGCTACAAAGCTTGCAGCCTAGCAGTATTCTCTGAGTGGGAAACCTGATTGCTGACAGGACTGCCTATGTTTGAGTCCAAGCTCCTGATTTCTGCTTCTTGCTGCTGCAGCCCTTGAGTGGGCAGGTGACAGCTCTCAAGCGCTTCCTTTGGGTCCACCCCTGTAGACACCCAGGTGACATTCCTGGTGCTTATGGGCAACTGGAGAGTGAGCCAGTGAACGAAGCCCTCTGTCTCTCATGTTATCTACCTCTCAAATAAATGTAAACCATTTTTTTTAAGTTGCAATTAATTTTCTAAATTTAGGAACTATTGTCTTTCTAGTTTTTTTGTTTGTTTTTCAGGATAGGTTCTTAGAAGTGAACTACTGAATTAAGTAATATGGGCATTATAAAAAAAAAAGATTCATTTATTTAAGAGGCAGAAAAGGAGAGAGGGGAGAGGGAGAGAGAGATCGGTCTTGCGTCTACTGTTTCACTTCCCAAATGGCCACCACCTGGGGTCAGGAACTCCACCGAGGTCTCCCACATGGTTGGCAGGGGCCATGCATCCCCTGTTGCTTTCCCAGGCACACGCATTAGCAGGGAGCTGGATCAGAAGTGAAAAGGTTAAACCAGTGTGGAATGCTGATGTTGTAGGCAGCAACTTAACTCGCTATGCCATAATGCTGTCTCAATATGAATTTAGAAAAAAGATTTATATTTTTATTTTAAAAGTCTGAGTTACAGAGAGAGGGAGAGACACCAAGCTCTTTCATGTGCTAGTCTACTCCCGAGATGGCCACAATAGCCAGGACGGGGCCAGGCTGAAGCTAGGAGCATCTTCCAAGTCTCCCGCGTGGGTGGCGGGGGCCTAAACGCTTGGGCCATCTTCCACTGCTTTTCCCAGGCTGTTAGCAGGGAGCGGCTCAAAAAAGGAACAGATTCCACAATGCCCGACCCGAAATGAACATTTTTGAAGTTGTTATTTTCTGTTGTCAGACTGCCTGTCGGCGAGGCAATGCCGATCTACCTCTGCCATTTAGCTGGCGTGTTAAGTTAGCTCAGTGGGTTTCTATTCTTCGTTACTGCTTCCATGCTAATCGTGGGAACTCAGATATGTAAATATCAACTGAACTGCATTTTGCAAACAATTTTACTTAAACATTTGTCAGATTTATCGCAACTCCTCCACATGTCCAATACTTGACACGCTAACATTGAACTTTGCTGTCAAACCGAACAAGATGGTCCCTTATTCAGGTCTGTTTGCGTTTCCTTAGAAATAAATGTTGCCATTTACTCACTGACACTGCAGGGGATCATGGATAACATTTTTGGTGTTTTCCCGGACAGCTGTAGCCATATACCAAAGGGAAGCTCTGTGTGTTTCACTGTGTCCAAAGACACCGATCCAACTCTGCAGAAGACTCTCACAGGCTGAATGCGTGTCACTCGCACGCACGTGTCACTCATACCCACGGGTGACCGAGGGTCAGCCTTGTTCACCAGGCTCCAGCTTCTTGGCATGTCAATCCCAGACAGGCATTACCTCCATCCCCCCGCCATTTGTGTCACTGTGCATTTTCTCGGGAGGCCCACACCGCCTGTGCTGTGTGGAAGTGTGTGGTGGCTCCCAGGGGCTTGGGAGGTGGGCTGGAAGTTCAGGAAGCAGAGGAGGAGCCGGAGCACCAGCTGCTGGAGCAAGCAGGTTGGGATACCAGCCGGGCACCGGACACACCGTCGGGGGTGTGGGAAGCCTGCCCGCAGCTGACAGCGGGGAGCTCGAGATGGTGGCTCGAGAAAGCTCATGGCCTCTGAGCTGGTCCAAGGGACCCCTCAGCAGGGAGCCACTGGGGCGCGAAAGAGTTCAGAAGCCAGGACAGGCAGGAGAAGCTCACCCCAGGGTCCGAATTTCCTGTCGGTGGGCCTGACACAGACTTGGGTCTAGAAGAAGGCCTGAGCCGGAAAGGGCCGTGGAAGACCTCGGGCAGCGGGAGCTGAGGCGAGAGCGGGCACCCAGCCTCTCACCACACGGAACAGGGGCAAGTGCACGCCCGCAGAAGTAGGTAGAATGATTGGCCGAGCCGGGAGGAAGTAGCCGTGGTTAGTGTCTGAGTCGTTGGACCGGATTCCTGGCTCTGCCCTTTCTGATACTTTTTTAAAGGACCTAGACGCTGAGAGGACTAGGCTATTAATTTCTGATAAGGTCGGTGTTTCCTCATTCATATGTCCGATGAACAAACATTTATCAAACACCTAGTACCTGGAAAGTTAGGCATCTGGACATGGAGTGAGGAGACGCTGGCTGGCCAAGAAGCTCATCTCGACTCGGCCAAGTCATTACACAAAATTGTCATTATGTCTTTTCTGAGAAGACAGATTAGGATTTATTTCGTCGGTGGAAAGCATCAGTCAAGAGAATGCAAATGATCTTTGTCCAAGTACCCACCAGGTCACCTGTGAAGAAGAAAACTTAGCCCCCCATGTGCTCGCTTCGGCAGCACATATACTAAAATTGGAACAATACAGAGATTAGCATGGCCCCTGTGCAAGGATAAAACAGCCCCAGTTGCCCTGGAAGTCATCAGCAATAATTTGAAACAGCTCTTTGTACCCAGTGCCAAGAAAGTTGGGGACCTGACCACAGAATGCCAAATGCGATTCAACCACAATGACTCGAGGTGACTGCTACTTTTGAGGGGTTGGAAAATGCCTTCCCCTAAGTTTGTCCTCATAACCATGACCTGGCTCTGTAAATCCAGATCCCCAAGGAACTGCATTGGAGTGCCTCTCAGGGGAAAGGAATGGCGAGGTCCAGATGAAGGATCCGGCAAAGAGGCAGCGTGTACAGAGGCAGCTCCTTCAGCGGTGTTCCTCTTTCAGTCCTGACCCCTGTATTCATGCATCCGAGTGCATCCCTAAAGAAGGGGCAGTATCAACCTTGGACTGAAAGAGCAGCGGGCACTTCATCTCACCTTTCTAGCCTTCAGGGAGTGCTTCTTGACTGTGTGAACAGTGGGCCCAAGCACGTGGTGATCCTGGGCCATGGGCTTTTCAAGATGTCTCTTGGATTTGAAGGAAGACTTCCTTCAATGTGTATATTTCATGGTGACATTGACACCACTAGAATGTTCTGAAGCACCACTCAGCGTTGAAAGAAATGGGGGAGGGCTGAGGTTTCCTAGGGGAGAGGGGAGCCGAACCTCCCCCAGAAATCAGAGTTTTTGTCCTGGCTGAGGGTATTGGCTTCCTGTGCTTGAAGGCTCAGAGCGTTACTCCTTCTGTCCTGTCTCCTTTACACAAAAGAAAACAGGCTCAGGTTCTGGAACTTGACCACATCACAAACCAAATATTTAGTAGAGCCTGGATTTAATCCAGTTGCTGTGTCCCTATGTTAATCTCAAACCCCTCACTTCCCCCAAAAAATCTGGGGCCAAAGAAAGCCGGGGCACTTGGCTGCTAGATACTCAGGGCCAGTAAATCATTCTCACCATAGGAAATACAGCTGCTTACTTCCTTTGAAAAGGCTAAGGTCCTGGCACCGTGGCCTAGCTGCTAAAGTCCTCACCTTGAACGTGCCCGGGAACCCATATGGGTGCCGGTTCTAATCTCGGCAGCTCCACTGCCCATCCAACTCCCTGCTTGTGGCCTGGGAAAGCAGTCGAGGAT